ACGTCGGAGAAGCCCGAGGCTAAGGTGGCTGAGCCCACCGTGTAATTGCACGAGAGCTCGAAGTCACATACATGTTTCGTATATCTCAACCGCCGTAGGAGGAACCTGTTCAGAGGCTCGAAGTTCGCTTCTGCACTTCGGGTCCCAGCAAATTAGTCGACTTGTGTCCTTCCGAAGGATGGCACAGGACGTTGACAGCCTTAGCACGGAGTGCAAGGTTGCAGCACGCACGGGCATCTTTCTCGCCGATCGCGCCAACAAGCTTGAGCCCAGGGTTTTCTGAATGTTTGAACTTTTTTGTAGCACTTTGCAGGTTCAGGTAGACAGGCGGGCACGTCAGCAAGCATCGGGGGCGTCCTTCATGAGTTGTCCTGACTGCAACGGCTCCATATCGCGCTCAGGCGCAGCAACAGATTGAGCCTGGACCTTTGACACGGTTGCCGCTGCCTGGTAACGGCTTTGGCGCATGTCAGGGCAGCCACACTGACCCTTTAGCTCTTTGGACCTCCAAGCGACTTTGCTTAGCAATCTTCAATGCAGTGCTCTGCTACAGCCCGGCTGCACCCGTTGCATGCTGTAGGTCTGAGAGCCTGAATCCCCAGCTGATTCGGTGCGGGACGTCTCTGCCGGAAATGACGGTGACATCGTGGGCAATCAGGTGACTTGGCAAACTTCCATTTTGTGACCTCAGCTTGCGCATTTTCGAGTGTTGGCATTTCGAACATGTTCGATCAGGCCCTCCAGCTTGAAGTTCCTTTTTTGGAACTTTCTGTTCATATGCGTCTTTTTCTACGACTGCGCAGCGGCCTCGGAACAGCAGCGCATCATGGGTCAGCTGTGTCGGTCGACGATCTCATCGAGATGCGAGATGCAATTGCTGCAGACGACCAGACTTGGTCCGACATTCTTTTGCCCATGCCTCATGGTCCTCTCCGAGAGTTGCTTGTGTCATTCATTCAGGTGAGTTTTCCACTCTCGGCCTTCAACATCGAGCGCCTCGGCAATTCCATTACCACCTCATAGCACTCACAGCACGCCTACTTGCAGACGTCAGTCGCGCCTTCTTCCTGCGAGGCACCTCTTCGTCCTTCCCAATGTGGTTGCGGCCTGGGGCCCGGCTCAAACCTGACACCGAGGTGTGTCACCGTGCTACTTGTAGCTACGGTGAGTAGCAGCCTGTGGTAAGTAGGCCCTTTGGATGTTCTTGCCATGACCAGTCAAGCCCCGCATCCTTCACGATGAATGAGGCTTCATTCTGGACGTCGGACTTTATCCTGTCATTCTTTGTTGGGTACCGCGGCACGAAGTTTCACCGCGCATAAGTGCATGTTCACTGTATGTAGGAGCCCTGCAGGTACGATACTGCAGATGGGCAAGTGGAAACACGCTGGGTCAAGGCGCATTTCCTGACCAAGATAGCTGTTAGCTCTTCGAGGCATCAGGAGGCAAGGATTTGGGTTCGAGTATAATCAAGTTCATGCATGTCATCTCATTCACCTTCTGGCAATGCTTTATGAGTTATGACTTTATGAAAAAACTCTCTCCCTGCTCAGACGGCGAGCCGCTATGCCAGGCTCCGTTGCAGTGTCTGCCGTGTACTTGCTGCTTGTCGCTAGCGACTGCTCATCGAGAGGTTCAAGAGGGGCCAAGACGTAGACAAGATGCATAAGTGGCGTTGCCACCATCTTCGGAGCATCACCGCGCGCAGAATCTGCGCACAAAACACAGATTTGCTTCCCACCACGAGCGCAACAAACTAGGGGCAGAGCACGGATCCAGGGCACGGCTGGTGTGTGCGTAGTTCGTGCAGGATGTTGCGGGGTGGTAGCAGCCGGGAGTCTGGCAGCAGGACCTGGATGCTCCCAGATCTGGTTGTCATCGTGGTGGACTGGATAATGTCAGGGGCCACAGACACCGGCGATTTGGTGATATTTCACACATCCGGAATTGCATGGGTGCCTTGTCGCCTCCTTGTTTCTTTGGCAAGGCTGGCTTCAGCACTTGGCTCCCAGCTTGAAGAGACGGCACAAACCCGGCAGGCGAGCCCAGCCGGTCTCTCCTTGAAAGTCCATTTGTCGCGCCTGGTTTTGTCCTGCGGCCGGCTTTGCACGAATCGGAAAATCCGTTCGCTAGATGAGGACAGCCCGATTCGTGGTTGGGGACCGTTTCAGCGAAAGGTGTACTCAGTCGGTTTCATAACAGACGCGATTCCACAACAGTCCACAGTTTTCTCCGAGTGCCGTGTTGATTTATGCTAGGCCCTGTCGATCATTTCGCAGCGCTGCTTGAGCCTGTCAGCTCAAAGGGCGTGAGAACAGTATCGTTTGCTGCATGTTCAGATGAGTTCAATCAGATCCAACTTGCCGGAAGGATTATGAGGGCATGCGGCTGCTTCGTCTCCGAAAAGGTGTCAGGAGGCCGCAGCATCTTAGACTACTGCATATTGCGCCCACGCAGAATCTGCAGATTGGTAAATTCGATCTACCGGTTCTTCCCTGCCTCTTGAGCGAACCAGTAGAATCAGTCGCAGAGCAAACGAAAGACACCCAGAAGAACAAAGCAGCGCCCGCGTTGTAGCATTACCTTCAATGTGCTGTAGTGGCCCCTGGAGGCCCTGGAGGTATGCCGTACTGAGAAGCAGCAGAGCAGAGAGCATCAGCGGCTCTGTCAAAAGGCCGTGCAGGCTGAGTCATGACTCGAGACCACGCATCGTTGCAGGATGTTGCAGGTCTTCTGCTTGTAACATTCCCCAGCAACACATCGCAACTGAACCGGTGACTGCCAACCTGGAAACACGGACAGCCAAAGGAAACATCAACAAAGGGTTGAAGAACTGGGCTCAATATCCCCAAGTCCGTGCGCCCTCTCTCTGCCCAGACCACGAACGTGGGTCATCTAAGGAGCCCCGTGCCGCCGTGTTTTCCAGCTTCATACTTGACTTTCCAGAGGTGATGTGTGGCACGTCACTGCAGCGCAAGATCTTGTCGGAAATTCAGCGCAGCAGCTGCCGTTCGTTCTTAGTGAAGTGTTATTGTTCTTGTTCTTGTCGTTGCTGCTGTTGCTGTTACTGCTTGTGAGACAAATCACAGGACGTCTCTTCAGCGTTGGTGCTCCCTGTGACTGTTGCAAACTACCACGAGCACGAAGCAAGCTTCATCAGTCGCTTGTATCCTTTGTCTTGAGCTGTTTTGCTACCTTCGGCGCGGCACGCAGCAGCCTCAGAGGGTTTAAGGAGGTTTAAGGTTCAAGATTTGGCTAGCTACCTTTGGCCCTGTCCGACGTCGTGCTCCGGCGCTGAGGTCATGCCAGGTCAAGCTGAGCTCCGGGTAAGACAAGGTGCCGTTGGCTTGCACTCGGAATCAACCAATTCACCGGCGTACTGGTGTAGGCTCCAAAGAGCTATCCGAAGAGATCGAGAAGCTGTGGGCCGATCGCCTTAGTTCTGCCATCGTCTCAGAGTGATTCCTCCTCGCGGCTACGAACCTGGCTACAAGATGTCGTGTTTGCCTCACCAGCACAAAAGGTGGCACAGCAAGTGCAGCAGCACCTCTCAGATCTGCACAAGCCTGGGACCTGGCATCCGACTTTTTGGGTTGAGTTTTTGAAGGTCAGCATAGAAGGCACCAAGACGCAGTGACCATCAGCAACCACAACTGCGGCAGTTTCCAGCTTTCCAGGCAGCTGTGCGCTGACCACCGCCTGGCGGTGCATGGACTGCAGATTCAGGCTGACAAGGTGCGGTCCCGGTCCACTCTCACCCATGGGTCTGTACTCAGACCTGGACCTACTGTAGACCCTCAGTAGCTATGCTCGATTTGGGTTTGCAGCTTTGTAATTGGAATCAGGCCATGGGCCATGAGTTGTCCAAGGATGGCAGCAGTGCGACCCCTGGTGCCTGCGTGTTTGCATGGCTTGAAGAACAGGAAAAATAGTGAGGTCAGGAGTTAAGGGCAGTGGATGCAAGTGAAAGCATGAAAAGTCCATGGCAAGGCTCGCCATTGAACCGGAGGCTGCAGCCTAAGTTGCACGTCTTCTTGCATACTCTCTCCAATCTGCTACGCCTTGGCGCTGAATTGCACAGTGCTTCGGCCTCACCAGGTCTCCAGGGCGTACGGCTACGGTGACACTGGGCATGGGCCTGGGGCTGAGGATGCCAAGGGTTTTGCAGATCGCTGTGAAGAGCTAAGTGCTGGCCGGCAAGGCAAGGGGGGATAAGGGGGGCGAGGGTGGAGCGGCGACCGGGGAAGGTAGGCTGAAGAAGCCGAAATACAGAACACGGCGTCCGTGCTTAGTTTTAACAGCAGGAGCAAGTGCAGTCGGAACAGCAACTACTACAGGTAGCAGCTAGCAGCACATTCCGGAGTCGGAGTCGGAAGACCATCGAGCCAATCAATGCATGCGGAAGTTCCCCGATGCCCCCAAATGACGCCAAAGTGTAGGAACCACAGCAGGCACGTTCTCAATGAGCCCTAAGCACGGCAAACAAAAGACTCCTGCGCGACCGAGGACGAGCCGGGCTGCCGAAAAGAAGTGGGACTGCAGCAACTTGAGTCAATATTTGCTGTGGGAACCGTGCAGTCACCTTTTTCCTTCGCGACCATGGGCCAAGAAAGCTAAACAGATTGCCTGTCTCATCCGAGGAAATTTCGCATCATGGCTCCGAGGCCTGAAACCGTGTGCATTCGTCGACAGGGGTCTTTGGCGACTCACCGCCCTGAATGTTGGAGTGCTTCACCGACGCTTGCAACACTGCCGTGATTCCCAACATTTCCTGACTGCGCAACTACTACTCACACGACCAGTCGTCGCCCGTCCGTACAACCCACTGGTGCATTCACGGGATGCAGCGGCATGAACCATGCACGCACCTGCATGCAAGGATGCGGAGGCGGATTTGTCAACGTTCAGCCTCAGATCCCACATGAAGGCGAACGGAGTTTGGCAGATAGGCTATGCCCAGCATAGGAGTCCTTAAAATTTTCAAGTCCCGAAGAAGTTTACATGACTTTCTCGGCAGGTTGAGTCTCCCTCTTCTTGTAGCCCTCGTTCACATTGCTTTCCTACATGTGGGGTTGAGTGCGCACACGCATCAAGTGGCTGCAGTCTGGCAACACTCTCATCGACCTCTGGCCTGTGTGGAAGGAGCCTTGCCTTGCGTGATTTGCATGCGTTCCAGTTTACAAAGAAACTTAACACACTCAGAATCACGCAGACAGGATGATTCAGAGGGTGCCGACTTGATTCGGGATATGGCCAAAGAGAAGTCCATGCTCGTCAAGGCCCATTGAAAGTCGTCGCATGCTGCGTCTGCCATGTGAACGTGGAAGGGCTGCCCTGCCGTGGACTGATGAAGCCTTGTGTTGTTCTTGCGTGTTTACTCATCTAAGTTTGGTCCCAGGGTCTTCTTCAAGCGCCGGATGGAGCTGGCTTGACCATGTTTTTGCAGCATATAACAGGTTCAGGTAGAAAGGCGCGCGGGAACTCGTAAACATGGCAGACTTCAAGTTGAGCGTGGATGAATC